TTACATATCTATCATAAATGAGTAAGAAATAATAATAATAGAGATCATATATGTTATAAAGTTAAAAATTAATTTTACTATAAATAAAGATATTAATTACTTTTTTTTAATCTGTCTTATTTGTACCAAACAAATATATCCGTGTATTATCTTTTTAAGTGGATAAAGAAAAAGAAACAAAGAAAATATTTATTGTTTATTATGGATTTATGTTTTCTGTATGATTTTCATTTTGATATATACACTGTCTTTTATTAAAAAGTTTTTATATTATCGATTAATTAGATAATATCTTATAGACGACTTTAAAATTATTATAAAAATATTCTATAATGCTATAATCAATTAATAATTAATTAATAATATAAAAAAATTTACATTGTGATTATATTTTAACTGTATTATTTATATAAATTCATGGGATCGGCATATAGAAAAGTTTGGACAAATAATGGAAGTCGTTTTTTATTCGGAGAAATAATGAAAGTTGAGTGTGCATTATGGTACATAATATTGTCTCGCTTGAAAACAACTAAAGGTATGATTATTTGATATTTTTTTCATTTCTGGTTTCATTTTTAATTGGAATTGGCATTCTCAAATTAATTGTGGGAAATCTCAAGCGTGTGGTTCAGCGGTAGGGGTTGATCCACGCTTAAGCAAAGTCAGGGGTTCGAATTCTGCCTTGTGTATGCAGCCGCATTAAATCTTGGGGCCAGCTATCCCACCCTTTGAGGTGCCTCCAACGTAGCGAGGAGATTAGTCACCGCTGTCGGCGGTAGATACTCTAGGGACGAACAAAAAAAAAAATTAATTGCGGGAATTTTCATGGATATTAATAATTGAGGACACGTGCTGTAAAATGTAATATGATTGTGTTTTGAATTTTATCTGTTACTTCCATGTTATAATCCAATCAACTATACGGCCCGGTTAACTTATGAGGCCCATATTATTGGCAGACATTCAATTTAATAGTTTTAATCCCTACGTTTAAAAAAAACAATCAAAATATTCTTAATTAGTGTTTCATTTTCATATGTCCTACTCACGGTCTTCTTTCCTAAATATGTTTTTGGAAGAAAAAAAATAGTGGTAAGATACTAAGAAATACTTTCCAAAAACTTAATTCTAAAATGTATAAAAATGAATTAATGCATATTTAAAATATTAATCTAATAGTATTAACAAGGATGACATGCATTAATCCAATATATATGCATTTTTTTAGGATTGTTAAAAGCAGAAGATTACAAGTTCGAGTTGCAAACACTTTTACTAAGTTAGAACTACTTAATTAGTCTCTCAGTGATTGAGGATCTTGTTTATTAAATAAGAGAAAAGTGATGTCAAGAGATTTGAATCCTCATTCATAGATAATATAAAAGATCAGTCTAGGATCTCAACCACATGTTGACTGCATCAATTCAATGTTCATAACAAATAAAATAATAAAATATCATTATAATAATTAAAATATCAACATAATCTTGTTCTTTAAGTATAATCTTGAATTGGAACATTATAAATTGAAGAAGAAGAAAAAAAGGTTATAAAGGATAAATTCTATTAAATTAAGTTAGTCAAAATCTCTAATATAACATAACGTGAATATGATAAAAAGAAAACATATTTGTATTCTTATTTTATAAACAAATAGTTGAAATGTTGTATGCGACAATTAACATGACAATTAAAAATTACTTTTAAAATAAGAAATTACAAAAACAATTAAAATTATTATTATTCTTATTATTGGAGAAATATACTCGACATGGGCATAATCAATTTGATTGAAAGGATGAAAACGTGATGATCGATTTGGAGTTTTTATGAGATTGGTCCATTAAATTTATAAAATAACAAGATAAATTTCTACTTTTCTCATTATTTCACCTTTTTTTTTTCTCTCTCTTTTCTTTTCTTCGCTTCTATCTCATTTTTGGGAGCTATCCACGTTATTAACAACCCCATTGAAGATGGCCTTGTACACAAAATCAGAACCATTCGAAGGTGTCCACGTGGCATCCCATATCCTACTTGATTTGACTTATCCCTCAGCAAAGTTAAGTAGTCATATAAAAGAAAAAGACAATCAAGTTTTCGACCAGATAACTGATTTTTGGAAACTTTCCCCAAACAAGATTCTATCTATCCTTGAATTAGGTGCCTTCCAAGTGAGCTTCTGCCAAAAGGGACAATTTCCACCTCATTTGGAACAAAACTGAAGTTGAGGAGTAAGTGATAATGGTTTCACATGAAAAAAGATTGGGAACTGCTATTACTAATTAATGATGCTAATCATAGTAGAAATCCCCTCACCTTGAACTTCTTAAAACCCTAAACAACTAGGGTCGATCCAACTTATCCTTGCTATTTTGGGAAGGCATATAGCACTTATATATCATTAATTACGGATCACCATAATCAATCTAAAATTAAACAAAAAAGTTGAATAGATCTTTTTTTTTCTTCTTCTTTCAATTCTTCTTGTGAAAATCAAATCAAATTTTACTTGATGATGTTTAATAGTAGCATTATGGAATACTATTTTAAAATTTTAATAATAATATAATTTATACTTCTCATAATAAGTTTGTTTAAATTTTAAATTAATCTCTTTCATAATAATAATGTGTATCACACGTATCGTAATGATATATATCATAAACACTTTTTATATTATATAAATAATTTACAAATTTTAAAACAATAATGTTAAACAATAGAAAATGGATATTTTTTTCATCAAAAATATTTTAAACAGAATTTAAAAAGCAAAAAATATTTTCTTTAACTTTTATCTCCCAAAAAATTAAAATAATTAATTTTAATATTTACTATTATGTAATATTTGTATAATATTAATACAAAATCAAGTGATCATACATCCACTAATATCATCATATAATATAACATGAACAATTAAAATTGACCTAATAGTGAGACTCTCAAAATAATATATATATATATATATATATATATAATCTTAAGTTAAAAATTGTTGTTGTTTATAAATAAAATATAACATTCTATTTGATACTCCAAATTTCTCCCCCCCCCCCCC